TATTTTTCTCTTGAATTTTGTCTTTATGACAAAAATCTCAGGATAGAAAGTATTGGGTTTACAAGTTTGCCTATTGTGTTTTTGTAAAGTCAGCTTAATAAGGATAAAACACTGTCTTACAGTTAATTTTAGTATATGTGCTGCCGAAGCGAGCACGTCTTACAGTTAATTTTAAAAGATAGCATTAATATACAAATTTTGGAGGGAAATAAATTTTTCTCACAGAAGTATAGCCATACTGTTGAGTATTTTAATATTACTTTTTTATTGCCTATGTGCAGTCTTTATAATTATTTTTAAATTGTGAAAGTAATCTAACCATATCAAAGATAATTTGGAAAAGAGATAGGAAATTATAACCCATATTAATAATAGCCATTATTGTCATTTTTTTTTTTCTCTCAGTCATTTTTCTCTGTGCGTATTTCCTTAAGTTATATGTAGACGCTATGACTCACAGGTTTGACTTGGGTGTTTTTCCATTTACTTGCATTTCCTGCAAGATGATTTATCAGCTTATGCATGTTCTTTACTCAGCTATTAAAATCTTGCTTTTCTTTTGGTGTTGCATAAGTTCTTTGTGAACTTTTGAATCTAAATGTCCCCTATCAAAGTACACCTTTTATGACTGTCAGATTTGTGAGCATGACATAAAATAATTTAAGCTCTTCTAAAATTAATGTTTTGTCAGCTTAATATTGGACTAATGATTAAAGGTTTAAAAACATATTAATAGGGCTGGGGATTTTGCTCAGTGGTTTCGCCTCCTGCTGCGCCAGCGCAAGGACCCGAGTTCTATCTCCGGTACCAAAAAAAAAATTAAAAATGCATTAAATTTTTTTTGCAATTTTTCATTTAAAATCTTGACTGGGGAAGGAAACAGTGTGAAGAAACAAATACTGATTTCTCTTCACTTTACCCTGAGGGTGACTGTGAGGACCATGCTAATCTCCTGTGCAGCCTGCTGCTCGGCTACGGCCTGGAAGCCTTTGTCTGTGTCGGGACGAAGGCCAAAGGGGTGCCACACGCCTGGGTCATGACCTGTGGGACGGACGGCACCGTCACCTTCTGGGAGAGTCTAACAGGACACAGGTACGTCACAGGAGTGCACACAGGTAGCAAAAGAGAGAACGTTTTTAGTTAGTTTTTCAGTGCTGGGGATCAAACTCAGGGCTTCATGTGTGCTAGGGAAGCATTTTACCTCTTTGCTACACCCAGCCCTAAATATTTGGAGTTGTACAGTGTTTATTCGATGGTACCTTCAGGCGCACCTTTATAATTTTAGTCATTATAGTCGTTCTGGAGGGTATATGAGAAGCTACTTCAAGCTGGGTGTGGTGGGGCACACCTGTAATCCTAGGTACTGCTCAGGAGGCAGAGGCAGGGGGATTACAACTTTGAAGCCAGCCTAGGCAACTTAGCAATTTCCTATCTTAAAATAAAAAGGGCTGGGGAGAAAACTCAGTGGAAGAGCACTTGCCTAACATGTGCAAGGCCCTGAGTTCAATCACCAGTGCTACCAAGAAAGGAAAGAAAATTCAGTTATGGTTGCTAAGTAAACAAGCTCTAAGAAAATTTGTGCCTTAAAATGTTCATTACCAACATGATATTGGTTTTATTTATTTTTTTGGTACTGGGGATTGAACTTGGGACCTTGTGCTTGAGAGGCAGGCGGCAGAACCACTGAGCTAAGTCCCCGGCCCCAGGTTTTAAAAAAAATTATAACTACATGCTTTTTTTCTGATGATTATCCTTAAGACTGAAATAGAGTTCAAGTTGTAAATCATGGTTCTTTGAAAATTTAACATGGGTACCATCTCTCTCTCTCAGAGAGGCCCCTGGACATTCTGTCCGTTCCTGTCATGAGGTTTGAGAGCCAACCACGCCCTCTCTCCAGAAAACACTCCTTAACTTCTGTTGCACCAGTTCCAGTTTCCGTTCTTCCTTTCTAGTGGTCGGCTTTTCCCTTCCTCCTGTTCTAAGTGCTGAGTGCTCTAACAGCACAGCCCTGAGCCTTCCACTCCTTTCCCCTGGCCCTCTTGCCTGGTCAGTGATAATGTTGGTTGTCACACCTACTTATGTGTGGCTGAATTATCTTGTGTTACCTGAAGTAAATTTTGTTGTTGTTGTTTTTTGAGACAGGGTCTTGCTATGTAGTCCAGGCTGGCCTTGAACGGACTATGTAGTCCCAGGCTAGCCCAAAATTTGAGGTGATCCTCCTACCTCAACCTCCTGAGTGCTGGGATTACAGCCGTGCACCATCATGCCCAATTTTTTTTTTCTGTGAGTATTTTATTTATCTTTGAAGAAAGAAAACACAGCAGCAAGTTCTGTGTTGGCTTCAATACAACCAAATAGTTCATCTTTAACATAATTACTACACTCCAAAATTGAAGTCAACACAGTCATAACTACAAATTACTTGTTGAAAGACTCTGTCCTGGAGAAAGAAAATTAGGAAAAAGAATTTAAACAATTTCTCTAAACCTCATTTATAAATATTGTCATCTTTAAAATGCTTGAAAGTCACCATCATGGCCAATTTAAAAAACTTTTTTGATCTTGAAAATAGACATAGAATGTATTCTGTTGTCAGAGGAGTAAAATTGGCTTCTGTATTATAAGGTGTACCACACAATTAACAGTAATCACACTGAAAATATAGAAAAGAAAAACGAGAATTAAACTCTAGACCTAGCAAGTAGTTTCGCAGTTGTAGCTTCACGTAGCTTCATTTGTGTTAGAGCAAAGTTTTCCCCACAGTAAGACATTGGCTTTTTGATTTTTACATTCTCATTCCGTGAAATTGTGATTTAATTTTGTAGGTACATCCACAAACCTGCCAGTCCTGATGAGTCTCCACTTGCTGAGCAGCCCAAACCGCTGTACCCGTATCGAACAATTGGTTGTGTTTTCAATCATCACATGTTCCTGGGGAATTGCCAGCCCTCTGATGCTGTAGAAGCCTGTGTGTTTGATCTGAGTGATGAATCCAAATGGAAGCCCATGAGTGAAGAAGCAATCAAGTCTGTGTGTGCTCCTGGAGCTACAACCTCTCTCCCGCCCTTCCCACCACTGTGTGCGTCCACAGTGGACGCATCGGTGACTAGTAACGAAATTGAAATGCAGCTGAGGCTCCTGGTGTCTGAGCACAGGAAGGTGAGCCACCGGAACCAGTTGTAGCTTCATCCATGCTTTCCTGTTCATTTAACCTTTTGTTCAGTGTGTATGGCCCTTCCAGTCATTATTCTGGCCCCAAACAAAGCAAATCTAGTCCCTGCCTTGATGGTTTTGAAAGTCATGAGAGTTAAGTTCTGAGATTGGAAATTTTCCAAGTTCACTGTTACTTCTAGAATTATTTCTTCCTCCTAGAAATAAAGAATATTGGATTTCACATCTGAGAGGCTTTTGGTGAATTCGGTATCACCATTTGGATTTCCTCTTTGTGAAATAGCTTATTCATAAAACTAAGGGCAGGGGATTTAGCTCAGTGGTTTCGCCGCCTGCTGTGCAAGTGCAAGGACCCAAGTTTGATCCCCGGTACCAAAAAAACCCCCCCAAAACAAAAAACTGCACTGTTAGAAACACAAGGTTACATTTTTTTCATTTTCTATCCCCGTATGTTGCAGTTTATTTTGTTTCCCATTCCAAGTAATGGAATAAGTTGGTGAATGTAAAAGACGTCTTCACTCTGGCTTTCATTTCCCGATTATTGGTAGGATCAAACTTCTTTGTTAGTCATGTAGATTTCTTTTATAAAGAACCTTGAGGAAGATATAAGAAGCACTGATCAAAAAGGAAGAGATAAGGGCCGGGGGTTTAGCTCATTGGTTCCGCTGCCTGCCTCGCAAGCGCAAGGATCCAAGTTCAATCCCTGATACCAAAAAAAAGGAAGAGATTAATATATTTTAGGAACTCACATTGGGCTGGCCTGCAGCCCCAGTGTTAGAGTGCTTGTCTAGCACATGCTAAGTCCTGGGTTAGATCCCCATATTTAAAAAACTAGCAAAAGAAAACATCAAGAGACTGAAGCCTTGAGGTAGGAAAAGTAATTTGGCAATAAATGAAACCAACGAAAGACTAAAATCTAAAATTCCGGTGAAAGGTTTTTTTCTGAGTCACCTTGGTGTTCCCTGTTAGACTCTTCTGCTCGGGTGAGCCCTCTTTTCTGTTTTCCCGGAAGCTGCTAAAGACACACGGATACAAATGCTGAAGACATATGGAAGCTCTGGGCTTCCAACTGTTTTTAGCTTTGGCTTCTAACATACTCATTACTCACTTGCCAACTAATAAAGCACTTAAATGACTGTTTTGGAAAATCTAGTGTTTGTAGTATATTTCCAGCAATAGGGTTGGTTGGGGACCTAGTTCATTACACTACTGGAAATGAAAGCCCCTCTAAACTCACTCATGTTGCCTGGTAGCTTTCTTTTCTAACGTTCTATTGCAAAAGAAAGCAATATTTTATTACATTATAAGGATTGCTTACATTAGTAATTGAGAAGTGCAAATTAAAGTCATTCTCTATCTATCTGTCTAGTTGAAACAGATGTCAGTTGGCAGAACCTGGACCCAGCAAGTGGGATTTACATTTTCACCACAGGCAGAGTATAGTTAGTAATCATGGAACTTTGAGATGGCTTGTGACCAGCTAAAACCCTGAAGATCTACTCTGATGATCAGAGTTGTAAAGATTTGAAAATGTTGCTGGTGATTGTGACTGGGTAGTTCACTTGATGTAAAGTGGACTGATGGTGGCCTTCAGTGCTGCACAGGACACTCGTGCTGACTCCCTGGTGGCCTGGTGTCTTCTCTTTGTCTCCCACAGTGTCACAGTCAGTGCCTTTTAGAGATCAAGTGCTCAGTAGGTATTTGAGTTTAAATATATGCACAGTGAGTTTGCTGAGTTTTCTTCTTATTGCAGATTCAGTTTTGCTAAACTCTTAAGTAAAATACGGCCTTAAAATTCACGGACACTGTTTTCTAAATTAGGAGTGTTCCACATGGTTTCCTCTAGTAGATTTTTTTTTTCCAGAACCAGAGATCGAAGTCAGGACCTTGGGCTTGCCAGGCAGGCACAGTGCTACTGAGCTACATCTTTGGCCCTCTAGTAGATATTTTTAAAGTAAAGGATATGAAGTCTTCATTTGGTTATTTCTCTTTTTTTGGTACCGGGGATCGAACTCAGGTCCTTGCGTTTGCACAGCAGGCGGCATATTTGGTTATTTCTAAGAAATAAAACCTGATAACTTGTTTCTTTTATGTTTATTTCTGTGCATTCCTGAAATAATTAATTGGAAGGTTAAAAATTATAATAATGCCGAAAAACTTTGGCATCCATTAAAATAATCAAAATTTTTATTTATTTGGTTTACTAACATGTTTCCCTTTTTTTTTTTTTTTTTGGTACCAGGGATTGAACTTGAGTCCTTGTGCTTGCGCAGCAGGTGGCGAAACCACTCCCTTTTTCTTTTTTGATTGCCACAGGATCTGGGCCTCACTACCGTGTGGGAAGATCAGCTTTCTTATCTTTTGTCGCCAGCCCTGGCCTCCTATGAATTTGAGCGCACAACGAGCATATCTGCAGGAAATGAGGAGTTTCAGGACGCCATCAGGAGGGCTGTGCCTGACGGGCACACATTTAAGGGCTTCCCCATCCACTTCGTGTACAGAAATGCAAGGCGTGCATTTGCCACGTGTCTTCGGTAAGCTGTGGTTTCTACGTTTGGGGCTAAAGAATCCTAGAAAGCAGAAGTCTGGTGGTTACTGGTGACAGCAAGACCATGGGCACTTTGCAGCGACTTCCCTTCCTGCAAGGGTGTGGATCTGTCGGGTCTGAAGTGTAGCCCTAGATCGGCTGGGAGGATTTTCCCAGTGATTCTGGTACAGTTGAGGATCTCTGATCTTGTCTAGTGGGATTTTTTAAATGTATAGGCCATGTGAAAACAATTTATAATATGAATAGTGCAACCAAAATTACTGAGCCATTGGTAGCAGACACAGAATTTAAAAATATTTAAGTGCTTATGTAAACATTTAGTTGGAAATAGGAAAGAAGCCTGTGGTCACTCCTCCGTTGGGTAAATTTTCTTTCTCATGTAGGTCCCCGTTTTGTGAAGAAATAATCTGTTGCCGTGGAGACCAAGTGCGACTGGCAGTGCGTGTCCGAGTGTTCACTTACCCTGAGTCGGCCTGTGCTGTTTGGATCATGTTTGCTTGTAAATATCGCTCTGTGTTGTAGGACTAAATTGCCACAAGAATTATACCTGCATTTTATTGGAGTTTTTCACATTGTGCACTACCAGCTATTGGAGGTTTCTTATTTTAAAATATCATAATCTAGCTTGGATGTCATATTTCAGATTTGTATAGATATTTTGGTTTTGTGTGTGTGTGTGTTTCATTTTTTGGTGTTTTTTTTTTTGGTATCAGGGACCAAACTCAGGACCTTGTGCTTGCAAGGCAGGCGCCGGAACCACTGAGCTAAATCCCCAGCCCTTTGTATAGATATTTTAAAATGATCATGTGTATATTTAAAAATCAAAGATGAAAATGTGTATAAATCTTAGTTGAATGTAGTATAAATTAAGTATATATTCTATTTTAATAAATGCTGCTTTGTCTGTAGGTATCTGGTAGTTTAAATATGAATATAAAATTTACTCAGTTTTTTAACACTTATAAGTAACCAGAGAAGTATTTGTCTAATAAGATCAAAATGATGATTATTTTTCGTAGGTGAATGAGATTATCTTTCACAAATTAAGGGAGAAATTAACCTTACAACTGTACAGCCATACCACCCTGAATGCGCCCAATCTCGTCATATCTGAAGCTAAGCAGGGCTGGGCCTGTTAGTACTTGGATGAGAAACCTCACAGCAGACTTGCTTATTACGTGGGTGAAAATATATTTTACCAAGTCATCACTTTTGTGGTTCACCTATGATGCTAGGGATCTTTGAGATTTTCCAGAAATGTATGAGAAGACTCTGAAGTAAGAACAGGAAAAAATACCAGGAAAGCATAGATATGAATAACAAAGCTCACATGAAAGTACATGGATAATTTATAAATACTTATTATCAAAATTGAGTATTTTAGAAAAAAATAGGTTGCACCCTTTTGTCATGAACATTTTCTGTAATTAACATTGCGAGTCTATCCCTGATTTTTGGTGGTCAAAAGATTAATTTGTTTTTGGTTTTTTTGTTTTTTATTTATATATTAATTGGTACATTTTAGGTATGAAATACGTTTACATTTATCATTGGGTGCTTGTACCTGAACGTGATGAATCTTGGTTCTTATTTTTTTCCCCATTACCTGTGCGCCCTTCACCCCCTCCACCCCTCCCTATTTACATAGACTTTGTTTCCTTTTTTTCTTTTCTTTTTTTTTTTTCTTATGAGAATAATTTTTCCTTTCCTTTCTTCCCTTTCCCCTTCCCCTCCCGCCACCCGTACGCCTTTGCACCTTTTCCTATTTCAAAGTTTAATATTTTTTAAAGATTAATTTCTTTATGGATTCCACCCTCCGAAACTGATTTTCCCCTTCTTTCTCGTGTTACCAGATAAGTCATTGTGTGAGGCCCCTGGGAAGAGCGTGTGAGCGGCTCCACGCCTGCTTACTTCACACTTGAGCAAGTTTAAAGCGTTCATTTTAAGGGAGCAAAAGGGAGCATTGAAAACAGTCACAGTTCAGCTGGGAGAAGCTGTGGACTAGGTGGCGGGCTTGGCTGTCCACGTGGTGTGTGTGGTGTCTCCGCAGTGTCTGGGAACGGAGCCTGCCCTGGGCAGGTGTGGTGCCTCTGAGCAGCACCCCGGGCACCGCAGTTTTAATTTGGCCGTTTGCCTGTCAGTCTTCCTGAGCAAATGAGGTCTTCCTTTCATTACTTTAATTCACTACTGCAGAGGGTGGTTTTGATTTTAAAAATTAAAAATATCTGGGGCCAGGGATGTAGCTCAGTGGTTCTGCTGCCTGCCTTGCAAGCACAAGGACCCAAGTTCGATCCCTGGTACCAAAAAAACAAACAAACTAGAAATATCTTAAAATATTCTTTTATACATATATATATATATAATGAATATGATTTAGCTTGTTTTAAAAGTCTAATACATTACTCATATTGATTTTCGTTGAAAATGGTACTCAGATGTTTCTTATAGACTGACATTAGAGAATTCATAAATAAGAATGAAGACATCTTATCTGTTGCCAGAATTACACATAAAGCTATCAACAGATAAAACTGCTTGTAACTTCCAACTTGAGACAGACTGTAAGCGCACCCGAAGAGGCAGGCTGTGTTGGGACAGTCTTTCTTTTTTTCCAGTCCCACATGACACATGTATTTCAAATGTGCTTTGGGTATAAATGTTCAAATAAACTCACTTCTTACTTGCTTCAGTAGTCTTGCATCACTGTTTCCCTTTAAGAGGTTCACTTCATATGACTACTTCACTGAGTGATCACTAGGATTCCGCTAACAATAACTTTTTTTGTTTTTGGTACTGGGGATTGAACTCGGGTCCTTGCGCTTGCGCAGCAGGCGGCAAAACCACTGAGCTAAATCCCCGGCCCCACTAACAATAACTTTTTAGAATTAAATTTACCATGTATGTTTAGCCGTCATAGTTCTTTCTATTAAAATGTAAACATTTTTATATAATGTCTCCAGTGTGTTCTTGCTTTGATGATTTGTAGATACAATCCTCTGTGATGCATATTTTATATACATGTATTGATTTAGAAGATGTGGCTCAGTGGTAGAGTGCTTGCAGAGCATGTCAAGGTCCTCGGTTCAATTCCCAGAAGGACCAGAATAAACACACTTTGATTAGTAGAAAAATATTAGAAACTTATTTCATTACTCAAGCATGAACCTATTGAATAAAACATTCAGTTCCAACTAACTTCAGAGTCTTTCTAGTAGCTAGCTAGGTGTACATCTTTAGATATGATCTGCAGAATCATTTGTAACCTGGCAGTATTGGAAAGTACAAACATTTGAGGCTCATTTTTCTACTGCTTAACCACGCTTGAGCCAAAGTACAGGCTGTGTATTTGAAGAGAGTATTGTTCATAAAAGTAGTACTCTGTGCTATATATCTGATGATCAGAAAGTAGTAAGCTCATTCATCTGATTTCATGCCCGACTAACCCCCCTCCCCCCAAAGGTTAGTACTGTGGTTTGCAATTTGGTAATTCTTTCACTGACTGCAGTGTAACAATTTCACACTTTTTACTCAAGTAGATAAATGTAGACCTTAGGTGACCTGTTTTAGACATAGATTTAACCTTTGTACCAATGAAAGCATTACTTTGCAGCACTTGGTATTTGAGCAACCATGTAAAATTACCAAAAGGCTATACCATATAAATAAAAATTTAAAATAGCCAAACATAAGGTAGAAGACAGGATCCTATTTTGAAGAACTTTAACTTATGTTTATGGCCTGGCACCCTTAAAGCACAAATTCACTTACAATCATTAGTGCATTTAAATATGGGTATTGGATGTTTGATATTTTCTTCTAGGATTTTTTTTTTTTTGGTACCAGGGATCTAACTCGGGCTTGCGAGCCAGGCAGTGGAACCACTGAGCTAAATCCCTGCCCCTTCTAGATTTGATTGGCTTATTGTCTATTACATTTGTCTTAGAGTTGTTTGTACATTAGACATTTGACATGAGCATGGAAGTGGTCATGGATTTTATTTATTTTTTTTTGGTACTGGGGATTGAACTCAGGACCTTGCACTTGTGAGGCAGGCGGCGGAACCACTGAGCTAAATCCCTGGCCCTAGTCATGGATTTTAGAAGGAAAGGGAAGGGACCTATTAACTAGCAGTTCACAAACATTTTCATGAAATGAAAGATTTCTGAGCCTACTGAATTTAGATGTGTACTACTCCCAAACATGTTGTCTAGTGTTTTGAAAGGTGGTGGTATTTGGGGCCATTTTATTATTGTTCACATTTGATCAAAACTAGAGTTTATGTTCTCTATTTTCAGATGTGAATATCTTGTGACCTATAATTATAGAATTTTAGACTTGAAAGGAATCTAGGGCTTCCACTTAATTTATATTTTAATGAAATGGAGTTGCAGAAACCTTTCCTGCCCAAAGACATGTATCTCTAGTAGGGGGTCTAGAATTCCAGGTCTGACTATATTGTTTTTGTTGTGACACTGCACAAATGTGAGTTCTCTGTGTGGAGGTGGCACAGCTGTGACCAGGTCACTGTCTAATTCGTGATGCCATAGCCACCACCTTCTCCAAAACAGGGCTCCTGTCCCTTGGGGCTCCATTCCAGCTCCCTCTGTCACTACTGCTGCCCACCATGAGGAATTTGGAAGGCCTTGTCCCTTTAGGCACCTATCAGTAACTATAGAAGTCACAGTGATTGGTTCCGCCACCTGCCTCGCAAGCACAAGGCCCTGGGTTCAATCCCTGGTACCAAAAAAAAAAAGTCAGTGACGACAGGATGTGAAGTCTGGACAGAGAGGGTGGCCTGGGGAAGGAGGCCAGGAGGCACAGCGACAGCTCGAGTCACTGGCGAATGGAGACCCGATAAAACCAGGGTGACGTACTAAGACTGTCCCCACTGCTAACATTCAGGGATTATTTGTCCTGTTCAGTTTGTGCTCTGAGAGGATCCATTGCAACTCGTTTCTGTGCAAGGTGTAACTACCCAGTTGTTAACGTAGGTGAAATCCTTTGTCAGTATGTATGATGAGCAAGCAGTAGCTCAAGAGATGAATCTCAGAAGTTACAAAAATCAGTATCCGAATATAAGCAAATTTCATCAGCAATTAAAAATTTTATTGAGCTAAAATTTACATACTATGCAGTGGAAATGTACAATGGTCTGTAGAATACTGATATTTGCAAACATTACTAATTTCAGAACATTTTCATCTCTTTAAAAAAAGCCTAAGGGGCCGGGGATTTAGCTCAGTGGTTCCTTCCACCTCCTGCCTTACAAGTGCAGTCCCAAGTTCCATCCCCAGTACCAAAAGAAAAAAAGCCTGTGTCTTTAGCTACCACCCCCGATCTGTACATCTCTTTTAGCCCCAGTCCTGAGCAACCACTACCCTAGTTTCTGTCTCTAGATTTCCTCATTCTGGACTTTACAGAGTGGAATCAAGCGATACATGTCTTTCACATGGAACGGAGCTTTCAGGATCGTCCGTGTTGTGCGTGGGCCACTGCACATTCCCTTTAAAGTGAATACTGCTTATCGCACGGGTAACCGTGTTTTACCTGTTTCACAGTTGGTGGACGTTTCAGTTGTTTCCGTCTTTGGCCGTAATGACCAGTGCTGCTACAGATGTGCAGATGACTTGTGTGTGCACATGTGCTTCTGCTCCTCTGGGTGTACATGTTTCTAGTTGAGTCACCGAGTTGTAAGCCTTAGCATTCTGGTGACCTGGCAGTTTCCCAAAGCAGCCGCAGCATTTTATAATCCCACCAGCATGGGTGAGAATTCTGATTTATTTTTCTTAAATTGTTTTTTCCCCCAGCATTGTGTATAGAACCCAGAGCCTTTCACGAGTGCAGATGCCCTGCTACTGAGCCTATCTTCCAGCAAATGCTTGTTTTCATTGTTTTTCCAACCAGTTGTCACCAACTTTTTTTTTTTTTGGACTGGGGATCGAACTTGGAACCTTGTGCTTGCGAAACAGGCAGCTAACAGAAACCACTGAGCTAAATCCCCCGCCCATGATCTTTTTTTTTTTGGTACCAGGGATCAAACTTGGGTCCTTGCACTTGTGAGGCAGGTGGCAGAACAACTGAGGTAGATCCCCAGCCCCATCTGACTTTTGATTCCCACCATCCTAGGGGGCTCATGTGATTTTGATTAGTATTCCCTGATCCCCAGTGACATTGAGCATCTTTTCCTGTGTTTTTGGGCTTTATTTATCTTGGAATAATGTCTTCAGGTTCTTTGTCTAATTTTACTTGGGTTATTTCTCTTTACTGAGTTGAAATTCTTTATGTAATGTAATACAAGCCCTTTATTAAATATGATTTGGTACCGGAGATTGAACTTGAGACCTTGTGCTTGCGAGGCAGGCAGTGGAACCACTGAGCTAAATCTCAGGCTTAAATATGATTTGTAAATGTTTTCTTTCATTCTCTAAATTGTTTCTTCATTTTCTTGATAATGTCCTTTGAAGTATGGAAGTTTTAATTTTTTTTTTTTTTTTGAGACAGGGTCTGGCCTTGAATTCACTGTAGCCCAGGCTGGCCTCGAACTCACAGCGATCCTTCTGCCTTGGTCTCCCGAGTGCTGGGGTTATAGCTGTGCACCACCATGCCCAGCAGAAGTTTTTAATTTTGATAAAGTCTAATGTATCTTTCTTCGAGGTTTATGGTTTTGGTGTCATATTTAAGAATCCATTGCCAAGTGCAAAGTTATGAAGATTTATCTGTTTTTTCCTTAAAGTTTTAGTTTTACCTCACACTTCAGTCTTCCATCGATTTTCAGTTAATTTTTATATATGGTTTGAGGTAAGAATCCACGTTCTTTTGCATATGCATACTGAGTTGTAACAGCACCTGTTTTTGGAAACTATTTTTTCCCTATTGATGCTCAAACTAGAAAATGTCTGAATGACACCAATAAAACTGATATACGTGTGATGCTGCTGTTGAAATCATTCACCTCATCTGGCACTGCCTGTTCGGAACCTCTGATTTAAAAGGAAAAACAAAAGCACAGCTCTTCCTAGAGGCCGAATTCCCCAACTGCGATTTCAGCATCTGTCCATAACAGGGCTAGGTCTTTTCAGAGTTTTGGTTTCTGCCTGTTTTGAAATCCCTGAGACACTCAATTTGTAAAGCTTGCTCTTTGGAGTTAGTCTCACTAAATCCATTGGCTGTCCCAGTTTGTTCCTCAGATATTTCATTTGCAGGGAAAGCAGATTCTCCTTTTTTGAATTTTCACTGAATTTCATGGAGCTTGATAATACCTTTGTCTATTAGGTTATTGATCTGAGATCTTTCTTTTTTTCTTCAGGTATGCTATACCTTTCCCTCTTGGCACTGCTGAAGATGTAACCCATAGGCTTATGTTGTAAGTCTCATTGTGCTGTTCATTTCCATTCATCTTGAAGTACGTTCTGATTTCCCTGGATTTCTTCTTCAGTCTGCTGGTCACTCAGGAGTGTGTTACTAACTTTTCATGTATGCTTTCCACCCTCCCTCCCCCCTGCTACTGTGGTTAGGGAACATCATTTGTTTTACCTCTGTCCACTTATTTGAAAGGAGAGGCTTCTTTGATGGCCTGCCATGTTGCTTGTCTTGGAGAACAGCACTGCTGTCCACTGTCGAGCACAGGTTCTGCGGGTCCTTGGGAGGCCTGGTGGGGCTGGGGTTAGGGTTAGGCATTCATGTTTCTTGTGGACCCAGCCCTTGTTCTATGCTCGCCGTTACAGCATTGTCCTCGAAGTTGGGGTGTCTGTGGAACTGCCTCTCTCCTTGACCTTGCAGTCTTTGCCTCATGCCTCTGGGTGCTCTGTTCCGTGACTGCTGAGCCTCTATCTGCCCCACACTGTCCTCAGTGTAAAGTGTTCCTCTGCAATAGCACGTCCCGTCTCAAAGCCTGTGTGTCTCTTACGAGGGCCGCTGCAGCTCTCCTGTTGCTGTTTGCTTGACCGTATCATCTCCCACCCTTAACTTCCGGTCATCTCCATCTCTGACTCCGAGGTGTGTCTTCTGTAAATGACAAACAGCAGAATCTTTCTTTGTTGTTTTCCAGTGTGACTGTCTGCCTTTTGATGGGACTGTTAAGTCCCTTCACGCTCAGGTTAGTGTAGCTCCTGTGAGAGTTGCGTTCAGGCTGTGGGAGGCCTGGTCCATCACCCCCAGACCCCCCACCCCCAAGTCCATTCACGTTTCATGCTCTTTCTGATGTAGCTGGATTTGGGGCTGTCGTTTGACTTTATTTGCTCTCGGGCCTTTTTTGTTTCTTTTTTCCCTTTACTGCTTCATTTCACGTCAAGTAGATGTGTTCTAATATAGCATTTTAATTTCTTCAGTGGCTTTCTCACTGTTTTAGAGGTGTGTTTGGGCGCTGTAGGGTCTCCCATATATATTTTATCAGAATCACCTTCAGATTTAAATTAGCTAATTCCAGTGATACATGACTGACTTTTTCGTGTTTTGATTTCCCAGGACCTTGCCCATGCTAGGCAAGTGCTCTTTCACTGAGCTACACCCCGGCCCATTATTACTGACTTAACGATTACCGGTCAGTGACCACTCTGACCAGTTTCAGACTGCACTGGGATTATTAATGCCATTTGGCCTTCAAGGGGCAATCACTGGCAACCCTCTGAGGCCGGAAATACCCAGGTCCTCTGACAATGGTGGCTTGGGTTTGAGCTGCCACGGGAAAACTGAGTGCCAGAGAATTCACTAACATAACACCACAGGTGCACGCAGTACTTGTGTCCTAGAAGTCAGCAGTCTGAACAAGCACACGACAGGTGCGAATGCTAGTGCATCTGCATTTTCTGCTGTCCTTCGGGCTGGCAGGAGGGGTGAGGGTAGAAACTTCCTCTTTAATCTGTAAGTAGCAAATGGAACTGAGCTGCCAGGAGCCCGGGGCTCCAGGCCACCTCTTTCTTTCCAAGTCTCACCTGTTGTCCTGCAATGGAACTGTCCAGTCTATAAGATGGTTGAAGAAAGCATTTTACTGAAGAAAGCATTCTGACAGTATTAAAACAGTGCTATAAATATATAAGGAATTAAGAGTCATGGGCGATGAAAACTTAGGTCCTAACACTGAAAAAACTGCTGTTCTATTTTATCCCTCTTTGGTGTACTTTTCTCGGTGAGTGTGCCTCCTAGGAACCTTATCTGGGAGCATCTGGGATTAGTGGAGGCTGCAGAGATGGGCTGTGGCCTAAGACCAGAGCAGTGCAGTGACCGAGAAGCATGGAGTACTTTTATTCTATAAAATGATAAGTAAATATAAGAAAGAGTTCCAAGGATTCCATTTTTAAATACAGCAAAACCAATGAAAATGAAAATCAATTCTGAGGAACACATGCCATCATTTTTCAGTTCCCTCAACACTTGGAAAGAGATGTTGAAATGTTGATTTTAATTGTTAGACATTTTAATTACAGCAATTTTTAAAAGTCACAGTAAAAATAAAATCATTGGCAACAGTTGGAACAAAAGACACTGAATGATAAAGACATTTGAAACTTTGGACTGAAAGTGAGAAAGCAGGAAGGCACCCGCATTTTGCACATAATTACTTACACTCCTCTAGAAACCTTGCAGTGGTTAGCAGACAAGTGCAGGGCCTCCTGGGGACAGACAGGGATGTGTTAGCTTTCCCTTGAGGTGAGAAAATACCTGAGAAAATTGATTTAAAGGAGAAAAGACTGGGCTGGGGATTTAGCTCAGTGGTGTCACCGCCTGCCTCGAAAGCCCAAGGTCCGTAGTTCGATCCCCAGTACCAAAAAAAAAACCAGGAGAAAAGACTTATCTTGGCTCACGGTTTCAGAGGCTTCAGTCCATGGCTGAGGACATCGACATGGAGGAGTCCTGTCCACTTCAGGCCACTGGGAAGAGGGAGGAAGGGGCTCAACCTCTAGGGACCATGCCTGCAGTACAGGAGTTCTTGGGGGAATTTAAGATCCCCCAAAGTTTCACAGGGTAGCAAGACCATATCAAAGTTAGAATTACACCGCACAGAAAGTGTCCAATATTCAGGTATATAATGAGAAGATTTAAAACAAAAAATAAGGCTGATTTTTAAGATTTTCCCCGTAGAAGGAAAGCTCCCAAGGAGGATATTTACTATTCCATGTCATAGCCATGAATTTGTATTTCACCAAAGGCTTTTTATTGCATATACCATTCTCTCATGTTTTCCCTCTCAAAATGTGCATATATATATAGTTTGGTACCGGGGTTCGAACTCAGGACCTTGTGCTTTTGAGGCAGGTGGCGGAACCACTGAGCTAAATACCCGGCTGAAAATTCGGTGGCTTTTTTTGGTACTGGGGATTGAACTCGGGTCCTTGCGCTTGCGCAGCAGGCAGTGAAACCACTGAGCTAAATCCCCGACTCCTGAAAATTCTTTTTTAATAATGCATCTTTTACCCAGGCGTGGTGGTGCACACCTGTAACCCCAGCACTTGGGAGGCTGAGACAGGGCTATCACCATGAGTTTGAGGCCAGCCTGAACTACATAGGAGACCGTGTCTCAAAAACAAAAACAAAAAAATTCACCTTTTATAAAGTTTAAAGTTCGGAACCTTTCTGCCTTTCCACTCCTTTCTCCTCCTCTGCGGCCCTTGAGATCTGGATATTGATTCATCTGCAGCCCTGTGCCAGGAGTGAGTGGCTCAAGGCTGCCGCCCGCCTGTCCGCGCCCCGCAGCACACCCCGCGCGCCAGCAGAGGGCGGCGTGGCACACAAACGTGAACCTCGCCAGGGCTGGGTCCGCATCGTTCAAACGACTGAAAACCCTGCCAGGTTTTCAAACTCCACGCCGAATCTAAACTTTTAAAATAGCAAAATCTGAGAATGTCTATTTATGGTTTTAATCAAACAGGACACAATCTCACACATTAATCGGAAAGTCTGGCTTGCTCCGGGCTTTGGCGCACACAAGTGTCTACCAAGGAGATCATGAGGCCTGACGCGACGCTGCTCGGGCTGCGCGGCGGCTCCGCTGCGAGTTTGTGCGAGGGAGGCGCTCAACGCTCTCCGCTTCCGTCTGGCCCTTCGCGTTCCTGCTGCAGGTGCCGGTGACTTCGTCCCTGGCCGCCTCAGCCTCTGCACGGCTCTCACAGGTTCGCCGCCGCGATCCTCCTGAAGTATCGCTTGTCCTGCGCACCCGAGGGGCCCAGCAGGCCGGTTCTGCCCTGCGGCTCAGTGCCCTCACCTGGGTTTCGCCACCGCACAGCGTCCCCTCCTTGGGCTCCCTGTGGCCACCAGAGCCGTCCGTGGGTCAGGGGTCCCCAGCCGGCCGCGCCAGGCGGGGGGGAGGGGGGGGAGAAGTCAGGAAAATCCACAGGCCTCGCTGAGGGGCATGGGCCGCGCACGCCCAGCAAACGGGGAGTCAAGAATCAGCTTGCGACCCGAGGCAGGTGGACTGCACGCTCCAGGCCAGCCTGGGGAGTTTAGCAAAACCCTGTCTCAAAAACCAAAACGGGCTGGGGACATAGCTCAGCGCCAGACCTTGGGTTCAACACACAACATAGGAAGAAAAAGCCCAGTAAAAACCAGAGGAGCGGGCTGGTGTGGGCGGCCCCGCGCGACGCCAGGCCATGGGTGGGCCAGAGGCTCAGCGGACTTGCATCCCCTGTTATCCCTTCCGGCTGGAGTCCAGTCCCTAACGGGCTTTCGGTAAGGCAGCCTCAGTGACAGTGACTCCCCGCTCTGCTCGGGGTGGCAAGGCCAGGATGCTGGGGACACCGCCGTGGTCACACCGGAAGCCCAGGCCGGCCGGGAGCGCGGCCCCAGGACGCGCGCAGCAGCTACCCAGGCGACGCTGCGTCCGGCACGCGCCCAGGCCCCGCCTTCCTTCGCCCCGCCCTCGCGCCCGGCCCCGCCCCTCCGCGCTGACTCGGCGCCGAGCCCGTGCGTCACCGGCCGCGGGCGGTCCAGGCGCGTGCCCGCTCCCCTCCTCCGCTGCCGGCTGCGCGCGCCTGCGGGACAGGGACGGCGACGGCTGGGCCGGGCCGGCGGGGCGATGCGGCGGCGCTGAGGCGATGGCGCAGGCGGCGGGCGGGCGCGACGCGCTGAGCCTGGAGGAGATCCTGCGGCTGTACGGCCAGCCCATCAACGAGGAACAGGCGTGGGCCGTGTGCTTCCAGGGCTGCGCCGCGCTGCTCACCGCCCGCCCGCCGCGCCGCCTGCGCTCGGCCGCCCAGCTGCGCGTCTGCAGCGACGGCCGGGTCGCCGTGGGCGCCGAGGAGGAGGAGGACGAGGGGCCGCCCGCCTCCGGTGAGCGCCCTGCACCCACCCCTTCCCATCCCCGTCCCCACCCGCGACCCCTACCTCGTCCTCACCCCGCACCCTGTCCCTAACGACTCTCGCTGACCCCATCCCCATCCCCATCCCCACCCGGCGAACTGACCCCCATCCTCACGCAGATCCCATCCGCGCCCCAACCTGTGACCCTATCCCCGCCCCTCGGGCGACCCCGGGGAGCACGGGCCTGGCCAGGAGGCCAGATGAGGCCCGACCGGGTCTGCCCTGAGCTGGCAGCCGGCTGCTGGCCTGCTGGCTGTTGGCTTCTGCCGGCCGCTGACCTGCCCAGGCCTCAGTGTGCAGATGCTGACCCGCAGCTGCTCACCTGTGGGTGGAGAAGCTGTGTGTGTTCCCCCGTGGGTTGTGTGGTGGCCCTGACTTGTGCTTTGGAGCCTCACAGAGGTCTGGTCCCATCCCCTTCACGCCTGTGGCGGGCGCTCCTTTCCCAGCCAGGCGCCAGCTCTGAGTGCTTTCACTAGGACGGCGAGTGTTCCTTTAGCTTGGGAGGGTGCAGAAGATAGCGGACCCAGAGGAGAAAGAGAAAAATAGTCTCTTGGTTTTGGGGGTACTGGGAGCTGAAAAGGAGCTGTTTCTTACATGTGTATTAAAATTCGTTGTGATGAAAAACAGATTGTGAGGTAAAAAATTGACAGAATGTTGAAATAAATGAAAGTGGGCTTTTGTTATGTGTTGTCTAGTGTAAATTCTTCAGGATTTTCTCCTAAACCATCACTGGAGTTACAGTGCTCACATTGCTTTATCAGTGACAAAGATCGATAATAGGCTTCTCCTACTGGTTTTCATCTAATTCAGTCTTTTGAGAGGCAAGTCTATTAAAAACATAGAAAAACAATCTACCCTCACACTTAAAAAGTTGATGGAAGTGTCAAAATGTGTAAGTTGAAAGATGTAATCCAGTTAGTAAAGTGCCGTGAAAATCCTTTTCTACATTGATGAGAACATTCAAGATTATATCAGTTCTTCCTGCCAGAAAAACGTAGAAAACGAAAAATTTGTCTATGGTTAAAGGGGATCCATATAGTGTTTCAATACAGGTGTACATGGTATGATATTTACAGAAAACCAGCCTCGTAATACTCCTTGAATGTTTTTCCAGTACTGGGGATTGAACTCAGGACCTTTAGACCGAGGTACATCCCTAGCAGTTTTAATTTTTTTGGTTTGAGAGAAGGTCTCACTAAGTTGCTAATTTGCCTGTGCTCCTAGCTCAGCTTCCGTGAGTGCTCGGATTACAGGTATATCACCACACCCAGCTGAAATTATTTTTATTTAAAATCACTTTTTTAGATTATTTGATGTATTTTTTTTTTTTAGGCTTGGACTTGCTAGTAATAGAAAATACTTGGAGTTATTGTATTATTTATTTACAGTGCATTAAGATGGCGCAAAAATATACTTAAATACAGTGAAGCTATGCCTCAGTATTTAGCTGTTTCAAGAGGAAAAGTGGTTGTGTGCATCCTGCTTTGGGAAGCAGCGCTGATAGTGGTGATTTATGTGGAGAATCAACCAAGTTGCACAGTCTGTCCCTTGAACCCAGTTGCAGAAGAGTCTGGAGTCCGGACAGATTCTGTGGGGTGTGTTCTGTTGAGGGCGTTGTCAGCTGCGGCAGGCAGGATGAGTTCTGCTGCTCTGGTGTGCGTGCGGACCTGGTGAACAGTGTCAGGTGCTGTGCAGGAGCAGGGAGCAGTCAGCTTCCAGAACCGGTGCCAGGTTTGGAGCCTGTGGAAAGGCCTTGTGTGGGCACGGGCAGCGAGCGTCCTGCCCAGCTCAGGGCCTGCGCAGGAGAGTACATTAAAGCTCTGTTGTGCCAGCCTCTCAGGAGGTGAGGAGCACGTGGCTGTGGCAGACGCGTGGTCATTGAAGGTTTTTTTTTTTTTTGGTACCAAGACTTGAACTCTGGACCTTTCACTTGTGAGGTAGGGGGTGGAACCACTGAGCCAAATCCCCGGACCTATCATTGAAGGTTTAATCTGGGCCCTGAAAGGGATGAAGAGCTTGGTGTGGCTCACATACGCGTGAGTGCTGTTCCTAAGGAAAGGCTGTGTTGGTGAACTTCCATTGTCAGCAGCAGTTCCTCCAGTGTTGTGTTTATCATGGTTGCGTGTCCAGCGATCAGCAGCGTTCACCTTTCCCCATGTTATGCTTGAGGTGTTTCTGTATTTCTGGATGGAGGCGAGGAGCAGGCTTGGCCAGAGTCACGCTGGTGTGCTGGTGCTGTCAGGCAGATCCAGGTCTCTTGCCCTCAGGCTGGTGGCCTTGTGGGAGGACAGGGGCTTGGTTTGATGCCTCAAGAGAGAGCGCTGAGCTGACCTTGGCTGAGGCTCGTGTGCAGCCTTCCCTGTGAACTCCTCCCTGTCCACTTCCTCCCCTCAGGCTAGTGGGCCTGCTCTGCACTCACAGGGAGGGACAGACATCTACATGTACAGCAGTCTTCCCACCTGTGCCATTGACATTTTGGTTGAATGAGGCTTTGTTTTGGGGCTGTCCTGCTACTGGATGCCACCCCCTAGTTGTGAAATAAAAAGTCATCAGACATTGGAGACTGCTGCTGGGGGTGGAGGCCCCTGGGGCGGGGGGGAGTGGTGCAGCAGGGACTGGGAGCAGGAGGGACTTGGGGTGAGGGTCGGACCCCGCAGCGCCCTCAGTCCCCAGCCACTCACATGTATCCTGACTGGTTGGGTCTGAGTGCAGAGTAATGGATTTGGGTTCTTGTTGGTGCGCGCACGTGTGTGTGTGTGTGTGTGTGGTAGGGATGGAGCCGCGCCTGGGGCCTGCCCGGTGAGCCCTCACCTCTGAGCTGCACCCTCCTCAGCACGATGGCCCTGGGTGGCTCCTGGTGTCCGCCCCCTCCTGCGTCCCCCAGGGCTTCAGAGCACGCGAGGGCGGCAGTCTCCACACACTCAGCACACAGGTGCTCTTATCTTCCACGCTGTCAGCCCGTGGGCGGCTGAATCTGTGGACT